TTTTTCTTGCTTGAGGAGATATAGCCAATTTTCTGAACATATCTCAGTTGGCCAAAAAATCACATCGCAAAGCCAAACAATTTCAGGTATTTGTGCTGTACTGGCACATCTATGCTTATGTGATGCGCATCAAGTTTTGATAGTGCAAAATAATGGCATCTTTCAATTGGGTCGACTTCTGATGCTTCAATATAACCGGCCAACGTTGAGTGAAAATGAGAATTTTCGGGTATTGCAGGTCAGTTGAAGTGCAGTCAGACTTTCCGCATGATAAAGTGAAAACGAATAATGAAAGTAATTTAATGAATCTTTCTCAAATCTTCCCAATTATCGTTGTTTGTGCAAACCTTCAAAACATTAGGATGATTTTCTTGATAAAATAATTTCAGTGCTCAGTATTTCGTGTACTACGCTTATTGTTTTGTTTGGAACGTAATCGTCACTTTTTTCGTCGTTTATTCCCGTCAGAATTCTATGAAAAGTTCATCGATATTGGTCATTATGTGCATGAATTACAAGCTTATACAACACTTGTGGACAGCTATCGTCACATTATTGTGAGTTGTAATGCTTCACATACATTTTTATCAACCACCTGATAGTGAGATGAACTGGAGCCTGTCTGAAGGACCGAGCGAAAATTTTCTGATCGATCATACGCCACTGATTATAAGGAAATATTTTGCATGAAAACACTGATTGGGTAGTGATCAATTATCTGTATCATTGATCTCACATATAAGATACTGTTCTCAGATGCGCATATTACCCGGAATCTTTACCTTTTCTCGGACAATATATAATTTTCTAATCAAAATTATTCCTATCTTGAGAAACGACCTTGTTTGTATAACTAAATAAAAAATCATGATTATTGAAAATCTTGCTCTATCGAAACTCATCTATGGTATGTTAGACCATGGCGACAAAATGCGACAAGAAAGTTCTATCCTCCTAGCCAGCAGCATCTGTTATAGACATAAACTTTCTGGAAGCCTTTGTAGGAGACGACACCCAAAGACACCGTTCAATCGTGTTGGGATACAAGTGATCAACAACGTGATCCAATCGCAGTGATCGGTCAGTATGAAGTTATCGAACAGTTGGGCTCAGGTGCATTCGGATGTGTCTATCGAGTGCACAAGAAAATCATCAATTCAGCGCATAAAACCTCAGCACCAACATATGCACTCAAAGAGGTATATGCGAAATCTGTGCAAAATATATCATCGATTGAGTTTGCTCCATATAGTTGATCAGATAATTATCACCTTTATTTGATTTGTTCCTATATGCTAACGTCCGTTCCTTTGAGAGTTCCTTCAAGCACACAGATCAATTACATTCCAAAGTTTGCGATTCCTTGCATTCCATACTTAAATAATAATTCAACCAATATGCCTTCTCATCCTCACCACTGTTCTGACCTTATCAAATAATTCTAATTGATAAAATTCTGACATTATATCGTTATATCGTTATTAGGCTATTTCTCGAAATCCTTCAAAGTGGCTGGTGTCCTTAACCTAAAATAACTGACCAAATTTCGCTGTAACTTCAGATTTTCATGTTGCAAGAAGACGAAAGTAACGTGGACAAGAGTTACGGTGATATTATAAGTGAAGTACGAATAATCAAACAACAGGTTCCACTTATTTCTTCCTTATCACAATCAGAATCAAGCATATTTCTTCTTTATCACAGTCCTACTACAAGACGAAAGAAAAGTGATAGTTCTCTATTTTCAGCTGCTGAGAATCAAAGAACTTGAACTTTTCATTCATTTTAATTAGTTCACAATGTCTTTCCCGAGTTTCTGCCATATGACCGCTAAAACAGCTCGACATCGTCCCCATCAAAGGCGAATGATGAATTCCAGTGATTTGTTGCAGTTGCGACATCCAAATATCGTTCGATATCGTCGTGTCTTTGTCGAGAACCACAAGTTGTATATTGTTATGGACCTGGTGGAAGGGGCATCGTTGAGAGATCACATTAATTCAGTTAAAGAAAAGAACGAAACGTTCACTGAGGTCAGAATATGGAACATCGTTATACAGGTTATCTTCGAGTTCCTCTTAAGTGCCTAACTAACATTAAGTCATAAAAATGATCGAGCGATTTTGATTCAT